TTGGACACTTGGCTTGTTATAAAGTGAGTGTAACCAGCGGATACCGGTTGGCTGTTACCTATATGTAAGCAGGGGTCTTCCCGCAATCAGCTTATGGCTGGTAATTAATAAAATTGGTAATGGTGAATTATAGTTGTGGCAGTAGACACAACTGGGGTTGGGTGTCCTGTGGTTGTTTCATGGGCTGAATTTGGCTCATTGCTCTTCGTGTTTGTGTATTTATCAATGATCACAAAATCAACCTATGAAAAGATCTAGATCAATCAGACTGGATTGTACGCGGTGAAGACAGCGTGGCCAGGCGCCCATCGCGTTGTTTTCGCAATCCGCTGGTCCCGGGTTGGAGTCCCACTCTAGCCACTTGCTGAATTTATTCGCGGTCCGGTATTTCCAAGTTCAGATACCCGGTCATGCTTGTAAATAGCCAACTGGTTGCCTCCTGCCAGTTGGGGTTTTTAATCCTGTTGTGTTCTATTTCCTCGATAAATAAACAGTTGTAGACTTTCACATGGCTGGGATGATCACATTGAAAATAACTTCTCCGCCCTTGTAGAATACAATAGTGTCCGTAAATAGTTTTTCTTGTGTTGAATATATTGACATCTCTTTCGATCCTTCACTTCTTCAAAACTTGCTTTTCTTGTTTAAACAGGTTCAGCAAGCCAATGTTGATGACGAAGAGATTGCTCGTGCCATCAACTCCAAGCTCGGAGAGACTCCTGAGATATCTTACTCAGAAATAGCTTCAAAGGCAGTGGACTGTGGACGAACTCACCTGGCCATCAAGGTTAGTTGAGAGCATTCACATGTGAACAGTTTTATTATAGATTACGTTCCAAGCACAATTTAAGGCATAAAGCGGTGTCCTCCGTTAGTATTTCCTTGCTAAATGCACTGAGGCTTAAAATAACTTGGGTTGGTATAGAATGGGATTTTTTTACCTACGAGATTGCTTTTACTGTAGGTAATCAAGAATTTTTTTTCAGTATCCGGAGTATGAGGACCGCGCTTTGATGGTCGGCTTTATTATCAGCAACACCACTATGGTGAAATATTACTCAATTGTTAAAGGACTCATGTCGAGAAACAAAACGTACGGCTGCAAAGAAGACCAATGGGGGAATGGAATATGGAGAGATTTAACAAATGAGACTTTCACCATTCTTCTCTCCAGGGGTTACCAACATGCTCGTCTCATAGGACGTCAACAAAACCTGGAACGGACCGGGTCAGATCAACCCCTGTAACTCACTGAATAACGAAAGGTAAGGGATAGTGCCTCTGGGAATGATCCGATCCGGTTCTGGGGTCCAGGTTTTGCCTACGGCCTTTCTCGTGGCTTCGCCGCTTGTGCCTCCACGAGGAGACCTGCCTACAGCCTGGCTTAAAGCCAGCCTTGAGCTCTAGCTGGAGCAATCTCACCATAGTGAGGTCGTCGTTTGACAATCGGTAAACGAGCCTATCATAGCCATGCCATGATAGCCTGTTCACAGACCCTCTATTTTCTCTTCAAAGTCCGTCGAGAGCGGGTGATAAAATATAAACCGCAGTGGATTATATTTGAAAAGAACGAAAAGAAAGATAAAACAACGTCTGTGTACAGGCTATGCCATGATGCATAATGTATCTTTGAAGATACTCACATCTTCGTGGTCTGATTTTTTACCTGTAGCTGTTGGACTATGAAGCAAAAGCCAAGTTCCACTGCTCATGCGCATGAATAAAGATGACCTAGCGCTCGAGAAGGGATCTGGGTTAGTTATAAGTGGGTACCATTGCGGAGAACTACAGCTAACTTGAAGTATAGTGGATGGGAACAATTTTTGAAGCCCGTTTTTGTTTCGTCGTAGTCGCAAGAGCTGACTTATAGAAAGATCTATTGTAATGTTGAAATTGTACCAAAGGTTCCAAAAATTTAGAATAAACTTTTTCTCAGCTTAAAAGTTGGCGTTACACCAGCGGCGTTACAAGCTGAGACAGAGATTCAAACCTCAAACATTTTTGAGATTGTTTTGTTGCTCATTATTTGGATCTTCCCTCGCCGTTGTCACGATTTGATTTTCAAGTATATTTCAACCATCTTGATCCTAAATATGTTTCATAATATTGACGGGCCATACACGACTCCCTTTGGCCAAGTTGTTGTATATCTTTGACCTTTAAGCTTCATAGTTTGAGTTGTTCATACTGTTGACAGGCTATTCACGTCTATGTTTGGCTCAGTTGCTGTTGCTTTGACCTTACCTTCATAGTTTAGCTCTTACGAGTATATCTTGTAGTGACTTTCCTCTTTTGTAAGATATTATGGGAGGGTCTTTAAAGATTTCTCTAAGCAACGGTTGGTTTTCTATAGGATACCATTTGTGCATGATGATTTTTTTTAGATTCGGTACTGAGGGGCGATATTCTGTCACGAATGGTAGTATTTTCTTGTGCGTTTTTGTTTTGTTTTGCAAGGCCGACATTCTTTCTTGATGCTTGACCTCTGATAGGTGCTTATCTATCACTTTATCTCTATAACCCCTCATACGGAGTCTTTGCTTGAAATTAGTTACGTTCTCTTCGAACGTTTTCTCAGAAAAGTTTGTTCTGAGTAATCTTAAGGCCTCGCCTTTTATGAATCCTTTCTTTACCCCTGGGGGGGTGTGACATGAAGAGAAGTACGTGTATTGGAAAGTTTCTGTCGGTTTGAAGTGTGTACGCACATCTAGGATTGATTCCTTCTTAAATCTTTCTCCTTTGTAAATACATGTATCCAGAAAGGCGGTTTCTGTTTCTGAAACTTCAGCAGTAAATTTGATGGTCGGGTGGTGGTTATTTGCTAGTTCGATGAATGAGTATATTTCTTCTTTGTCTACATTCCACAATGAGAATATGTCATCGATAAATCTCTTCCACACTAGTGGTTTGTGCGGACTTTTGTTAATAATTTCTGTCTCTATTGCAGACATAAAAATGTTAGCAAATGCAACTGCCATTTTTGTTCCCATAGCTGTACCTTGTACTTGGAGGTAGTTTTTTCCTACAAATTGGAAAGAATTCTCCCTTAGGATTAGTCTGAGCATATCTGCGAGGTATTGGCTGGGTATTGGAGGTTTGTTTTGATAGAATGTTTCGTATGCTTTGCATATAATTAAGAATTTGTTCATGCTTAGCGTGCGTATAACGAGTTATGGATGCACGCGGGAAGTTTGGAGAGCGCGAAAGATGCGTAAGAGTTGCACGAGGCGATAGCCGAGTGCAACTCTAGCTTCTTGAGTGCTCTCCAAACTTCCCAAGTGCATCCATAACTCAATATACGCACAGCTAAAAGCATGAGCAAATTGTTTTATAACATAGCTGACAAAAATGCTTGCTTTTTGATTAACTGCAAAATTCTCGTAACGCGCGGCACAATAACAAACGGTTCTATTGGCTGATTACGAACACGCCACAATCGTCTAGTTTGAATGAAAATATTCTTTCTGTAAAAGTGAGAAAGAAAATTTGCTTCTTTATTCGTTAACGATCAATGAAAACTAAGCAGAAACAAAGGTAAAAGAGTGTTAAAGTTCACCTAAAGTTAAAATACTAACATGTTCGTAAGGAGTCGTGGAGAATGGTTTGGATTTGCTGAAAAGATGTTTACGTTTCGCTCCGCGAAATCCAGAAAACATGTTTTTAGCGAAGACGACTGTCATCCTTCTTTAAACTTATATTCATTTATAAACATTGGCTGGTCATTACGGCTTCTTGAGAAGACCTGGCAGCAGTTGTTTTTGTGAGTAATAAATTTATGTCTTCTTGTGTAATTTGTGTTGTTATTGCGAGAGAAATTTTCCTGCTTCAGTCGGATTGTCCGGAGATAACAAAGTGCATAACAAATTTAAAAACAACAATAGAAACGGAAATTTTGCCTTTAAATGTTGTTGATGACCAGTTGGTGTCTGTTCTGTTCCCAGTGAACGTCCTTCGGCCAAAATTTGCTGCAGCTGGTCTTCGACAAATTTGCGAAACGCGCAACTTGCGAGTTTTTTTTTAATTCGGCTTTATTTTTGCTGCTTGTTGGATCAGGACCTAAAAGGTCAATACCGATAGAATAATTGGGCAGTTCTTCGCTGGTTTCTTCCATATTTTAAAGAGAAGGAAAAGTGCACTGCAGCTTAAAAGACGACAACTTTGCAGCCAGGTAAAAAAAATGCTCACGTCATCTTATTTACGCACGGGCGTGCGTAAATAAAGATTTTGTCCATAGCGGCTCAATAGGACTTACATAGGGCAAGCACGCGCGCTATGTTATAATGGTAATTCCTTCCTCCTGTGGGATGTTTGTGTATAGGCTAGTTACATCCATAGAGACTAAAATAGCATTTTCTACGACCCTGGTTTTCTCTATGAAGTTGATAAAGTCTGTCGTATCTTTAAGATACGATTTTTTGCAATTTAGCAATTGGTTGGAGGAGACTATCAACAAATGATGAGATTCTTTCCGTCGGGCCTTCGCAGCCCGATATGATCGGTCTTCCAACTGGTGTTGGTTTGTGAATCTTTGTGAGAGTGTAGAATTGTGGTATTCGCGGTGGATATGGCGTGAGGGATAGCCATCGTCTTGTCATCTCGTCTATATGTTTCTCTTTGTAAAGCTTATCTATCAATTTCTTGACCCTTTTAGAGGTTTCTACTACCATTGGTGTTTCTAAAGGTTTGTGGTTTTCTCTGTCATGTAATTGTATTTGACCTTCTTTTATTTTGTCTTCTTTGTTGAGAACAACAATAGAAGAGCCTTTATCTGCTCGTTTAATGTTGATGTCTGGGTTTTGTTTCAGTTGTTTGATGGCAAGTTGTTCCCTCTTGGGTAGATTGTTTCTAGGCGTGATTGTTTTTATATTAGCAAGTTGTAATTTAACCTTTTCTAGGTATGTTCTAGTGCGACTGATGGCTGAACTGGTGGCTCCCACTCTGACTTTACATGAAAGGGGTGTTGCTCTTTATCTTTTCCATGAAAGATATATTGTAGACGCATTCGTCTAGCGAAAGCGTTGAAATCTTATAATAGCTCTGCTCTAACGTGACCTGTGTTTGTCACTGGTGTGGGGATAAATTTAAGACCCCTTGACAGAACATTTATCTGATCGCGTGTCATTTTGTAATCTGAGAGGTTTTTGATATGTTTCTTTCTTGCTTCTGTTATGTTCTTATCTAAATCACGCGCTATTTTTCGCCTCCGCTCATTGCGTTTTTTGGTTGACAATGTCCGCTTTTTCTTTCCTCTTTCCCTTTTTAGATAATCTATATTCTCAGAAAACACTCTGGGATAAGATTCACTTTGTTTATTTTCTTTAGTATTTGTAAGATATACTTCATTTTGTTGAGTTCATCTATTTTCTTCTGGATATTCTCTAGTTTCTGTTTGTGACTGAATTCTAGAGTATTAGCTGGTACCTTATCTGACATGTCTTTCCTCTTTTCTTTGCGTGATTCCTGCTCTAGTTTTACAAGTTTAGATTTGCTTCTTTCGACTCTACGGTCGTGAAACTTAACGAGTGCGCCTAAAACTTTTCGTTCTGCGTCTTTTCTAATCCAGCTTATGTCTCGTTTGAATTCTTCGTCCGGGGCAATGTTTGACCTTGCGTTATATAAAAAAGTAAAAACAAAAATGGAAAATTAAGGAATAAAAACCAAAATCTCAGCCGAAAGGGAAAATGCCGAAGTGAAAATCAAAACGTTTGAAACGAAAACGGAAAAGTAAAAAATAAAAACCGAAATCTCAACCGAAAAGAAAAATGGCGAAGTGAAAATCAAAACGTTAAAAACAAAATCGGAAAAGGACAAAATAAAGACCAAAACCAAAACCGAAAAGCAAAATGACGAAGTGAAAATCAAAACGTTAAAAACAAAATCGGAAAGGGACAAAATAAAAACCAAAACCAAAACCGAAAAGCAAAATGACGACGTGAAAATCAAAACATTAAAAACAAAAACGGAAAAGTAAAAAATGAAAACCGAAACGTAAAAAATAAAAACCGAAAAGTGAAAAATAAAAACGAAATCGCTATGTGGCCCTTCTGGGCTTCCGTAAGAACTTTTCTCGTCATCGCCTTCGAACTACAACCTGAGGAACTCGGACTTTCATGTTCAAAGGGTAAAAACTGTTAAATATGGAAAGCATTCCCTCAGATTTTTTGGGCCATTTTTATGGTCAAAATTGAGTATGAAGGACAGAAACGAGACTTCCTTAAGCAGTTTTAAAGCAAATATAAGGAGAAAAGATCTGAGCAAATTGGTTAGTGATAACGCATGCAAAGGGTGCCACTTGTGTGATTCATAATTCATAAACAGAAAATATCATAACTAGTAGAGTTGATATATTATAAAATTGTATATATAGTTTTTCCTTATTTATTACATAGGTGTATTTTCGAAGCATATTGAATATCGTGTATCTTTTAAGTAGTTTTAGAATAGTTAAATCTTATTAACTTATAGTATTATGTATATATATTTCTTATCGATAAATAATTTAAGTAGTGTCCCCGATAAGTAGGCCTGACGGCAAGCTAGAGGATTAGACACTTAAATAAAGTTGTTGATTGATTGACTGATTGATTGATTATCATTGCGCAAGACCTAAAAATCGGCCCGATTAATCGCTGTGTGTAAACGTACCTTTACACACCAGATAACAGTGTAGTATTTACCTTCCCGTTGCTCTTGTTGTTGGTCCCTGCGCTATACTTGAAAGACCTTGCTTTGTTGATGTCTTCTTAACTAACGGAAACTGGCCCGGAAACAACCTCGCCACAGTATAAGGAATTACGGGTGTCTAGAAAACGATGACCTAGAAAACGAAGATCTACGACCTAGAAAACGACGACCTAGAAAACAACGACCTAAAAAACGACGACCTAGAAAACGACGACCTAGAAAACAACGACAGGGATGGGATAGCTCGAAGGATTAAGGGGTTAGAGGGGTACAGAAGGCGGGAAATAAGAGGACGATAGGAGGGAATTATGTACGCGAGGTCTCCCCTCTGTTTCGTTTATCAAACAAGCGTTGCCTGTTTGTTATTGGATAGATTTATTTGATGACAAGAATTGTATCAGCTTATTGTGTTTCAAACCAGTTTTTCAGTAGAATCGAAGTGAGAAAGAAAATAATTTACAGTCTGTCTATAAATCCGCTTACCTGAAGAATCTGTTAAAAGAATTTGCTAACCTGTAAAGTGCGATTGTTGTAACGACCCGCCACAGAAGTAAGTTAACCTTAAAGTTTTCTGAATTTAGCTACGAGATTAAGACGATTTGTGTTTGTTCTGATTGCGAATTATAAATGTATTTCTTTTAGATCGAAAAATTATTAAAGCTTGGAGCTAACCAGTTCGTAAGGAAACACCCTCCCCCTCTAGAACTGGCTGGGGTGGTGGACAATAAAGTGTTTACCAACAGAGGATAACCTCTCTTGGTGTTTACTGATTTAAAGTATATCGGGTTAGTTTCATGAGCGATCCCGGAGTGTGTTAATAAAAAGAGGTTTGGGGAACGAAGTATTTCTAAAAGTCAAAATTTGGGAAATTTTCACGTTTAGGCGGAGACGCTAGATTGATTTATTGATTAACGTAAACCTTCGTTACATGTACCCCGCGAGATACCTACATCTATTGCTCTTGCGTTATTTTCATAACGTGGTTTATAACTGTCTCCTGCATTTTTAAACAGCAGTTACAGAGTGCCTAGTGTCGTCGCAGGAGCTATTGTTTTGTCTTTGGACGTTGTATTGTGCATTGCGTGAAAGTGATGGAAGAATTAAAGATGAGCCGAAGTGAAATTTTTAATTTTGCTCTGCGGCGTTGTCTCTATTTCACATGATGTAATAATTTATTTCTGAACAATTCAAAAGTTCTACCGGAGATCTCACTGCATATATACCACGCTATCGGACCCGTGAGGAAACAGAAACTCCTAGGATGATACGATTCAAATCTTACAGTTCAAATACAGTTCAAATTTGATGACATGTCAACCTTCATTGTGTCCCACATAATATTTCACAATTCTCGTTACCGGTATGCTGCCGTTTAATGTAT